TATATTAGGGGTGTTCATCGGTCGGTACGATACAATATTTAGATATTTCGATTCAGTATTTTCGGTATTCGATTTCTTAAAATGTATACCAACGCCTCACTAATTAAATTTGGTATGGTTTGATTTTTCTCCTTTCGGTTTCGGTTTATCCGGTTCGGTTTATTCGGTTTGAATACTAACTAGTGCATAAAGTCATTGAATATAATATTCTGAATTAAAGTGCTCAAAAGTACAAAACTAAAAACATTTGTTTGACAAAAGTTTTGTCCAAAACTAGCAAATATCAACTTAGAGAGAGAAAACTATACATAAAAGAATAAATTTGATCATTAGAAATATCTTATTACTTCCTTAGAATTAATTGATGAACTTAGAGAATAAAGGAAAGTAAAATTATAGATTTTTATATTAATGTTATAATTAATATTATGTGTATTATGTAATATAATATATATTTCGGTACAATATTGGTATTTTCGTATTTCATTTTAAAATACAAAATACCATATCTTATACCAATATTTTTTAAAACTTAAACCAAATACCATATCGAATACCAAATACCAAATTCGATTTCGGTACGATAATTTGGTATTGCACAACCCCAATATATATATACACAACCGTAGATATTGCAATGCTACAATATCTGAAGCTCTTCGCTATACTACAAATTAAAAGGGCTGTCAACTCCCACTTAAATCTGTAAATTTCAAGGGTCCGAATTGCATATAACGTTGTTACCCTGAATAATTAAGTTATGTTATAAATCAAATTCTCTCTTAAGTTTAATAATCTCTCTTGCAAAATCATTATGTCCTACACAGTGTTTTAAAAGGCGTGAGCGTAAGACAAGGCGTTTTACATATACCTCAGCGAGCCGTAAGCCCCATAAATATTTAATTTTTAATATTTTATGAAACAATATAATTACAGTAAATATTTATAAACATATAAAATTGCATAAAAATTGAAAAAAACTATAAATATGTGAATATAGATGTGCTCCATCCCTACAAAAAACTAGTCAAAACAATCTATTATACGCTACTTATAAGTACAAGTAACTTGAGTCTAAAAGAATAAAATTTTCTACATGGAGGAATAAAAAGGATGACTAACCTGCAATTTAAACTTTGAATTTGCTACTATGAAGGAGAATGGAGTTCTCTTTATATTTGTAAAAAAAAAAAATTAAATGTTCGTTGCTTTTGAAAATATTAGCAGACTAGTAGACAAGATAAAGAATTGGGAAAGACTATAAATTAGGGCTTCAGTCAATAGAAAAAGATCTTGACTTTTAAATGTAATACATTTCAATTCCTTTTTAAAACTTTTGAGTAATTATTAAGCTGACTTTTGAGAATTTGGGTATTATGTGAAAGACCTATTCAACATTTTTTATTTTAAGTGCTGCTTAATAGAATGAACTACAATTATCGTTTAAATTGATCATAAGGAGTAAATATTCTTGACACAGTTAATGCTCAAAACTTTAGCTATTACGTTATGTACGTTTATTTCTTTTTCTTGTTTGTGATGATAGCCAAATCAAAATTTGTGGACCTTAACATCCGATAGTCCACTACTTTATTTTTTGTGTTCTTCTTCCTTCTTTTTTTTTTTTTAAATTCGCTTATTTTTGTCTTAAATGGTTAATTTATTGTTTAGAAAGTAAATTTTGTTTTTAGTATAATTATATTATACAATAAATTTAAAGGTCTTTCAGTATGATTTCGTCTTAGTTCACGAGATCCATGCAAGCAATATGGAGAGGATTCTCTGTTGCAGCTTCAAATAACCTTTGGTCCATTATTTTGAAACATCCAATAATAAAAATACTTGTGAAATTTTTTTACCTTTCTTTTGAGCTTATATATATAAAAAATTATCTGCAGTTCTGGTAAAATGATCTGTTAATTTGCTTAATGGATTAATTAATTCTGTTCAATTTGACTCATTTTTGTTAGGAGGTTTCTTCTTGAATTAATAATTGGCAATCTCAGACGTTGAACTAGTAAGATAAATTGTTAATTATCAATGAGTCGCTCTCTTTTGATATATGAGTTCAACATGTCAAGCAACTTATTTGGACGTTTGACGGTATTCATCTGGTCCAGAAGTTCAGTTTTACTGAACAGATTTTCTGTTACGCGATGAGGACTTAAGACATTTGGAGATTTCTGTATATATATATATATATATATATATTCAGATTTATAAGCAATTCAAAGTAAACGAAAATGTAAACAATTACTCTGCTAAAGTCATCTGATTCTTTGCCGTCACACCTTTTCTATTTTTTTTTTTTTTTTTTTTACCAGTTTCACTAAACCCTCTTAAATTAATAAAAATATTTAGTAAAGCTCAAAAGGGTTTTTAATTAAAAAGTAACTAAATTGTGTTCAAAAGGAAATAACTCAGAGTCGGCACCTGACATGATTTGGTGTGTTAGGTCATTGTTTTTCTAAAAGTAATTTTTTTTCTTTCAAAACACTTAAGACTCCAAAACTAAGTTTGAGCTAGAGATTCGGGTAAGGGGGTTTTATTTGACTCAGGGAGAAGGTGTTAGGCACTCCCCAAGTCCCGTAAAAGTTACGGTTGCGTACTCGATCTAGTTGGCCTTTAAAACATTCAAATTGAGGTAGAAAACACAAAAGGAAAAATAAACACACAAAATGCTCGAGATCGTCCTCACCTAATTAAAAGAAAAAGAGAAATGAACATAAAGTAAAAATACTACAAAGATCTACTTTAGGCCTCCAATTACAAGTACGTCGGGGCATACCCAGATATATATACAAATTGCGGGGCATTTTCGGGTAAATTTAATTAAGGGAACGACCTCTCGCCTCGAAACTAACAAAAACCGTAAGGCTTGCCTACCCAAGTGTGGTTGGCTTAAATATGCTCCTATCGACCCCAAATAAATAAAAATAGAAATTAAAATTAGAGAATTATCTAAAACCCAACAATTCAAAGTTCTGTCCAAAACCCCAAGCTTGTTTCCTTAAGAGACCAATCCCACAACTAATTAAGTATCGTGCACTTCAGACATCCAAATCATATTGCTTTAATTTACTATTCAAATTTCATACCCATTTTGAGATCAAACGTGAACAATCAATTCAACATGACAATTCACATTAATTCAAGGTAAATAAACAAAGCAACTCCTTGAAGGATGAATATTCACTCCTTGTTATGTGAAACAAAAGCCAAGTTCCAAAACAAACAATATTCCGACGAACAATTGATCGGAACCTCGCCAGAAACCTCAAACGGAACCGGAAAAGATCGAAGCCAAACGACCTCCATCAAAATGGGACATTGATTCAAGAGATTCGAACCAATCCAAAATCGCAGCAGTAATCACTCCATTTTCCACTGCTGTTCATTCGCTTATATGCCTGACGCGCGGAAACTCGAATACTCGGAATTGAAAGCAGCAAAAAAAATTTAAGCTACAAGAACTGGAAACTCTAAAAAAAAAACAGAAAACCTAAAAATGATAGAGTCAAAGAGAGGAGGCCGCTGTTCTTCTTAGAGTTGTTAAGAGATGGTCCGATTTTCGTCGTTCATGGAGATCGACGGGTCTGTCGCTGCTGGGGTCTAGCGGCGTGAGAGGTTTTTGCGATGGGGGGTCTTGGAGTGGTTGAGAAAATGAAGTTACAGGAGGTTTTCGCTGGTGTTGTCTCTTCTTCTTTTGGTCAAAAGGGATATTTTGGTTAAGGCTAAGGTTGAAGAAGAAGGGCAGCCATGGGACTCCTCTCACGTTCGGTTCTCAGGTGTAGGGTTCTTTTGATGTGTTAAGAGTTACCGAAAAGTTAATTGGGGCAAGGGCTTGAAAATTTTACAAAATCGAGCCAAGAAAAGGTTATAAATTCAATTTAAATACCTGCAAAAATATAAAAACTCTTAATTGATTTTAATAAACTATTATATGTAAAATAAAATTAAAAACTAAAGTTGAAACTATTTTTTGGTATTTTCAAAGATTATATTAAAATAAAATAGGTTCAAAGTAATATATCCTTCTAAAGATATCTAATACGTGAATTGAATAGAGAAATATAGAACTATTTTTGTATTTTTAATTTTGTGATAAAAATAATATAAAAGAGTCAAAATTAGTTGAAGTAACTATATTAGACCTAAACTAAGTATTTAAATACTAAAATATATAAAATTTTGAGAAGGATAAAAAATCACATGTCTACGTTTGCAGGTCACTTTGACTTAAACTTTTCAGAGCTTTCTTCTTGAATTAAGAATTGCCAATGTCGAACAGATAATGTCACATCATATCCTACGTTTTTGCCACTGGATGCATACAGGGAGAGGAAAATTTGACTTGCTCTTTTTCTTGTTCATATAGTGATTATGAATTCTAAGGAATATGTTTAACTAACTAGTATGACCAATACAAGTTAAATGCATAAATAAACCTGAGGATTACGCTGAATTGTCAGGAAACGTGTATCAATGGAATTTGATTATATGCGATGCGACATCCCCAGGTGAAATTGATTATAGAAGCGTAGAGGAAATTCAAACTTTATTTTGTGTACACCTGTGGTAGAAAAATATATTATAATGCACTTTCAAGGTTTCATCCTTTACACATTTTAAAAACCTTTATTACTAAGATAACAAAAACCAGATTGAATATGTATTACCATAGTCGTGCGTGTCTACGCCAGCCTGCGCCTGCATACATTATTTTATAAGGTATGTATCGAGTAACTTTGTCCATATAGACTTGAGAAGATCGGAAGAGATCACCCATCCTTTTTGTGTCTGTTGAAATTTTTGGTCTCCCGTGATTTTCTACCACGTCATTGACCCTTATGCTACACCCTTGGATGTATCTCTGAGCAATTATTTGCGCGACAACTGCAGCCAATACTTGAATTGAGACAACTTTAATGTTTGAGGTGTTTAACTAAGTCAATTTGGATCAGTTTGAAATGTACCCATGAGTTCATTTTCCATTATCATCAATTAACCAGGGTAATTGGAAGAGAAATATCTGAAAGCAATTGAGTAAAAGAAAATGTAATTGAGTATAAATAACAAGGTTTTATTTTGGAATTTCAATACATCCTGGTTGATCAAAAAATATACAGGAAGATGTTGTTCAAGTACCTGAACAATTCCTACGTCTTGATAAGAATCTAGGTTTCTTCCAGTAGTTTCTCACCAACATTGTAATGTAAGGCAACAAGATTGGAAATACTGAAGAGAAGATAGAAAAGAAGATAGAAATTCCCCCGATAGGCGTTATGGCAGACATCACAGTATCATAGGTTGCTATCAAGGCAACAAGTGAAACTTGCAGTTCCAATTGCAAAGGAAATCCTACGGTGAGGAAATTTATCATGTGAAGAGATACAAAAAATCCGATGGAGTTGAAAACCAAGAACAACCCATAGGTAATTGGATTGATGGTTCCCATCACTGACTGACCTGCGATACGTGGTGAGGACATTTTTCCATCATTGCTGGTGCTGTTATTAGCGTCGGGCCAGTAAGTGTCCTGCCAAACACCTCCTGGTGGACTTAACACTGCTTGATAAGTTGCTGTTGCAATTAAATTAGCTATCACAAGAAGGGTGTCTCTTACTTTTCCTGGAGGATCTTTGGTTTTATTGTACTTGAAGTAATCTTGAAGCTTCTTAGATCGAGATCGAGGCTGATCTCTCCTGTGCTCTCTGCTGGATTGTACATTTGATGGATCTTGAACTGCAACCCAAGATTGGGGCGAAGCTTCTTGCTGTGAAGTTTGCATGTTTTCAACAGATACAGCACCACATGCTCTTAGAATTTCCTCAATATCTCCATCTCCGGATGCCTTAAGTAGCACATCCAAAGGTGTAAGGCCTCCCTTGTTCAAAGAATTCACCTCTATCGTGCCCTTGGCAACAATATTTTCGTCGAGCAATAGATCAACAACCTGGTTGATTCATTTCTCTTAGCTGTTAAGGTGAAAGTTAAAAAGCAAAATGAAGAGATAAAGGAAGCATAAATAAGATACCAGATATACTTGCCTCGTATTGCTTAGTTGACACAGCAAGATGCAAAACAGTATTTCCTAGAATGTCCTTCTTGCTTAAAAGATCATACTTGTTAAATTCCTTGAGGTTCTCAAGTAATAATTTGAATGATTCAAACTGATGATTCTTGACAGCTAAATGCGGACAAGTCTCGCCACGAGCAGTCACTTCTGCTGCAGAGTATGGAAAAGCCACAAGAAGCTCCCTCATAACATGTTTTCTGCCTTTGATTACTGCATGGTGAAGGGGAGTTCTTCTTTCCTTCCCTTTGACAAGGCAGAGATCACGGTCAACGCTCAAGAGCTGCTTCACAATCTCTGTATTCCCATTTGCTGAGGCAATATGCAAAGGGCTGAAACCATCCTGGTTTAGGTCTCTTGAAAATTCTGGCCTCAAATGAATGATCTCCTTAGCAAACTCAAGATGGCCACCTAAACAAGCAATATGGAGATGAGTTTCATTACCTGCTAATGAAACTGCCCTGAGAAGAAGAGGGTCTTCTTTGATCAAGTTTTGCAAGTGATGAATATCTCCTTTTTGTGCAGCCTCCCACAGCCTTCTGTCCATCAGTTTTACCGATGAATAATGTAATTTCTTTGTTGTTTCTCCTTTGAATTCTAAAATAAGCCTGCAGACTTGAACGTTTTGAAATTCAACTCTTTTTCATGACCTTCAAGCTGAACTTCAACTCTCAAAGGAATAAAATATTCCTTTGTGCCCTTGTTTCATCTTTCTAACTCTGTACAATAAAAAAAACATCAACCAAAACAACTGTCGTTGGCGAAAAAAAAAGGGTATTCAACAACAATATAGAAAGTTTTGGTTGCCTCGTTTTTAATTTCCTATTTTGACATCCTCCCTTTGTTCAAATTTGCATCAGTGTTCATAAACAGCTACTACGTTTCACGATATGAGGACTCTACTATGTTCTACTACCCTGTGAAATGAAGCATATAATTGATTTCTTGTTGGCATTGATAAATATATAAGGTGTACTAACATGAGAGGTTCAAATAGCAGAACTGGAATCTCAGCAACTCGTGCAACGTTGAAATGGTAATAACTTCTGCCATATAGGCCGCCAACGCAGTTAAGGAGCTGTCAATCATTACAAATGACCATGAACAAGAGAGCTCTCATGCAGCTCTTTCCTTAAGCGTCTTGGAAAGGCGACGTAATGAATGAAATCGAGGTGTCCACAGTTGCTTTCTGCTAACCGAATGCCCGCTCAATAAGTTAGGCTAGATTGCAAGTGCCGCACAAAAGACCAGAACAGTATGTACAAGAGAAATTGAATGAAAGCTTGCTTGTATTACAAGAAAGCCAGCATGGTGCTGGGAAGGGAAGACACCAATATAGCGATTTGAACGTTTGCCAGAAACTTAGACTGCTAGACCTCTCTTATATACTCACTTTATTACAATTTATATGTCTTACTTTCCTTTTTAGTCTGTTTAAAAAAGAATGTCACTTTCTATATCTAGAAACTATTTAACTCCAACATTTCACATGGCATATTAAAGAAAACAAGATTTAAGGGTATTTTGTTATATGATACACATCTTTAGTTTAAGGCCACAAGGTTCAAAAGTCTTTCTTACTTTTCGTTAAACTTCATGCCCAGTCAAATTAAGACACATAAAATGAAACGGAAGGAGTAGATCTTAAAAACATAAATGCAAGTTACAGGACATAACATAGGAAAGCTGTAAAAACACAACGGAAATGACACAAAGTTGATGTTAAAATGTAATATAACCATTTTAAGACAGTTTATAGGCAAATTCACAAAGATTTCTATTATTTTGATGAATGAGTATGCATGTCCCAATGAATTCCTCTTCCATTGACATCAATTAACAAGGATGATTGGAAGAAAAATATCTAAAAGCGATTAAGAGAGAGATATTAATGAATCTCATTACCAAGCTTCATTTTAGTATTTGAATACATCCTGATTGAACTTCAAAAGAAGAGCAAAATACAAGAAGATGTTGTTCAACTAACTGAACAGTTCATAAATCTTGATAAGAATATAGGTTTCTTGCAATAGTTTCTCAGCAACATTGAAATGTAAGGCAACAAAACTGGAAAGACTGAAGAAAAGATAATAAAGAAGAGAGCAATTCCCCGGTTAGGCGTTATGGCAGACATCACAATACCATAGGTTGCTGTCAAGGCAACAAGTGAGACTTGCAGTTCCAATTGCAAAGGAAATCCTATTGTGAGGAAATTTATCGTGTGAAGGGAGACATAAAATCCGATGGAATTGAAAACCAAGACCAAGCCATAAGAAATTGGATTGTTGGTTCCCATCACTGACTGTCCGGCGACATGTGGCAAGGACATTGTGTCATCACTACTGGTGTTGTTATTTCCTCCAGGTCGGTAACTGTCCTGCCAAACACCTCCTGGTGGACTAAGCACTGCTTGATAAGTTGCTGTTGCAATTAGAATGGCTATCACAAGAAGGGTGTCTCTTGCTTTTCCTGGGGAATCTTTGGTTTTATTGTACTTGAAGTAATCCTGAAGCTTCTTAGAACGAGATCGAGGCCGGTCTCTCCTATGCTCTCTGCTGGATTGTTCATTTGATGAATCTTGAACTGAAACAACCCAAGATTGGGGGGAAGCTTCTTGCTGTGAAGATTGCAAGTTTTCAACAGATACAGCACCAGATGCTCTTAAAATTTCCTCAATATCTCCATCTCCACATTCCTTAAGTAGTACATCCAAAGGTGTAAGGCCTCCCATGTTCAAAGAATTCACCTCAATTGTGCCTTTAGGAACAACATTTTCGTCGAGCAGTAGATCAACAACCTGGATGGTTCATTTCTCTCATCTGTCAGTAAATTGAAAGATAAATACCAAGATGAAGAGAAAAAAGAGACATAATGACACATCAGAGACACTTGCCTCGTATTGCTTAGTGGACACAGCAAGATGCAAGACAGTGTTTCCTAGGATGTCCTTCTTGCTTAATAGATCAAACTTGTTAAATTCCTTGAGGTTCTCAAGTAACAATTTGAATGCTTCAAACTGATGATTCTTGACAGCTAAATGAAGACAAGTCTCGCCTCGGGCAGTTACTTGTGCTACAGAGTCTGGAGAAGCCAAAAGAAGCTCCCTTATGACATGTTTTCTGCCTTTGATTACTGCATAATGAAGGGGAATTCTTCTGTCCTTCCCCTTGAGAAGGCATAGATTGCGGTCAACGTTCAAGAGCTGCTTCACAATCTCTATATCCCCATTTGCTGAAGCAATATGCAAAGGGCTTAAACCACCCTGGTTTAATTCTCTTGCAAATTCTGGCCTTAGATGAACGATCGCCTTCACAAACTCAAGATGGCCACCCAAGCAAGCAATATGAAGAGGAGTTTCAGTACCTGCTAATGAAACTGCCCTGAGAAGAAGAGGGTCTTCTTTGATCAAGCTTTGCAAGTGATGAACATCGCCTTTTTGAGCAGCCTCCCACAGCCTTCTGTCCATTAATTCTACCAGAAAATAATGTTAATTCCTTGGTTGTTTCTCCCTTGAATTCTAAAATCAATCTGCAGACTTTAGTTTCCTTCATTAGTTGGTGCTTAGAACTAACGAATAACTCAGCTCTCTGAGGATGTAAGACTTCAACTTTTTTTGGATAGGAAAAAAAAAGAGTTTGACTTTCATAATCCTACAGCTGAATTTCAATATATTGGGTTAATTTTGTCAGTCAACTATGTTTTAAGTTCACTAAAGTCACTCAACTATGTTTTGTCACTTAAAAGTAACTAAACTTTCACATTGTCACTTAAAAATTATTTTGGCTCAAACCCCTATCAAAAATATGACATGATATAAAATTTAATGAGAAAAATCCAAAAATAAATGTCGCATAAACTTAAATGGACTATACCCACTTTAGATCCATTTCATTCTTAATGTGATTTGACACATAACCCAAATGCTTACAATAAAAAAATATTAAACTTCACATTAGTTTAAAATGATTACCCTATACTACAAAATTCTTGCCTTTTCTGTTACATAATGTCTATTTATAATTATTCTATACTAAAAAAATTCTTATCTTGTTTGTATGCCTTATCCGAGTCGTTTTATAAATCTACTGAAGTTAAAATACGGCTGTATCCAACTCACATAACATATTTATAATTTTCTAGTGAAATTAAAATAGTATTGTATTCATCTTACGTAACATATTAATGTATTATAAGCATACAAGAATAATAATAAGGCTAATAAGAGTCTATTTTCACGATGAACATGCAATTACAAATAACTTATTGCAATTGTTTAGACAAAAAAAATATTATATTTGTACGATAAAAACCCCACAAAAGAATCACAAGACCTAATTTTATTAGGGGTGTGTGTTTTTCCCCATATTGAAGCCCATTGGGTTATGGGTCAAATCAAATTAAAGGAGAAATGGATCTAAAGTAGATGTGTCAAACGGGCCGGGTTGACCCGGAATCGGCCTCGCCCTGACCGATTGAAATCCGGTCCGGCCCGGTACTTAGAGAGCCGTGTGGGCTGGGTTACTAGGGTTAGGGGCTGGTCCGTTTACTTTAATTCATCTGGTTAATCGGACCGGTCAAACCCGATCAATCAATATCCCTGTAAAACCGGTTAACCGGCCCAACTCGGCCCGACCCGGACTTGTTTAACGACTATTTTCATTTTTTTTAAGGTTTTAGAGTCTAAGGCAATGCAAAACCTTTCAATTTACTCTTTTTTCGTTATTTACTTGTTGTTAAATATAAACCTTTCAATTTGTAAGTTTAAATTTTGAAATAAATATAGTACTTGCAATTTATAAGTGCAATTTTTTTTTCCATCTTCATTGTATTCTTTATATTTTTACTTTATATTAATATAAATTATAATATTTATACAAAATACAAAAAAATAATAACCCGGCCCGACCCGACCCCTTGGACCCGTAACCCTTACGGTTCATTTTTTTTACCCGGATGGACCCAGACCCGTTAAGCCCGGTAAAGACTAACCCGTAACCGGCCCGGATCGGAAACCAACCGGTTTCATTTTTTCCCAACTCGGTCCGGCCCGGCCCATCCGTTTAGCACTCTTGATTTAAAGTGGGCATGGTCCATTTAAGCTTATGTGGCATTTATTTTTGAATTTTTCTTATTAAATTTTATGTCATGTCATATTTATGGTACGGTTTTGAGCCAAAATGACTTTTAAGTGACAATGTAAAAGTTTAGTTACTTTTAAGTGACAAAAAATATTTGAGTGACTTTAGTGAAATTAAAACATAGTTGAGTGACTATCAGTGAAATTAACCCCTATTTATTTCTTTCCCTTTCCTGTTTCAAACTTTTTAGAATAAAATAAGTGTCATTGACGCAAAAATGTGATCAACAATATAGAAAATTCTGGTCGCCTCCTTTTTTTCTTTCTATATTGTTTAGTCTCCCTTTAGTTCAAAATTCAAACTTTCAGCCTCTCCGCAAACAGGTACATTTTCAAATTAAAATAATAAAAAGCTACCAAACCAGTTGAGACTGCTATATGCCTTAATATGATAATATTAGTACTCGCTA